TCCGTACTAGTAGCGGTGAACCCTTATAAAATTCTTCCTATATTTAATGATACAACTATTCAACAATATGTCGCGGATTCTTGCGATCCTTGTGTACCAACTTCCCATAGTTCTTGTTCGTAATCTGACCATTTCTTCTTAGGTATGCTCTTTGGATCAAATTTACCTTCGTCTGGTACCAACGCCTTTTTACCCTTTTCACCTATAACCAAACGTGTATTACCCCATGAGAAGTCATCAAAATGCCAGAATGCATAAATAGGCAAGTAAAAGGAGAAAACGGGCATGGCAAGTATATAAACAATCATCCAACCAACATGTTCCCATTTACGACGAAGAATAAATATAAAGGCTTGAAGACCATATACAGCGGCCAACAACAATAAAGACATAACTGGAACCGTAGTCGGATCTCTTACAATGATATAAATCAAATATCCAAGATATGCAACAGTTGCGGGCATAATAAGGGTAGCGAACAAATCAATCATGACCACAAAACGCATAGAGAAACAGCAGAAACCGCAAAGTTGAGGTAAGAAAACTAATTCCATAAGATTGTGCACAGTAGAATTGATCCATCGACGACGTTGTGAAAGGAGCACAGACCATTGATCAGGAGCATAAGTTTTACATTGTGCATCTGGAACAAATGTCATCTTATAATTGGGAAAATGTTTCATCATTAAAGTTGTTAAATAACGATCTTCACCAAGGTGAAGTAAATTCTTCTTGTGAAGAGTATCGACCAAATTTTCAGAGTAATCTTCAATGAGTTGGTTGCTGACTAATAAAGGTTTATGGGAATCCGGTGTACGAACTCTATACATACAAAAACATCCGGGCAAACAAGTAACGCTACCGAACAGTGATTCAAAAGCTTTTGCAAGATGATGTGAAATATAATATTCGTATACTTGAATCATGGTAACCCAAGAGTCTTTTTCGTTAGCAAGAGTTGTTTCACCACAAAGTCCCATAACTTTGGTATCATGCATAAAAGCGGAAACGAGACGATTCAAAGAATCGGGCATAACCTCTGTATCGGCGTCCACCATAAGAACATATTCGTAGAAACTTGGATTTACCCCAATAACATTTTTGATTTGATGGTACATTTCCAATTCTAATGGAGTCATTTCAGAGTTGAAGTGGACCTTATTCAAGAATCTCATAAGAATCATCTGAGAATCACGTTTACCGCGATTACCAGGTCGAGATCTTTCGCTTGGTTTGCCAACTTTTACTACTACTAAATAAGGAACAACATGTCCATTACATTCGTATAATCCAGAATATACTTTGCCCATATTATGCTGTTTAGCACCATCTCCAAGAGACAGAAAACTGAGAGGTTCAGGATCAATATTTGGATCAACTCCCAAAATATCCAAGACGATTCGAGGCGTTGGTCTGTCATTACCACTACCGACAATCATTCCATCACAAACAATAAATAGAAGCTTGCGTTTGTCGTCATATCTTAATACGGCCAAGGAATCCAAAGTTTTACGCATAGATTCATCACTTTCAGTATAACAGGGAACTTGACAAATAACAAACTTATCATGTTCTTCTGGTTCTCTCCTTGAACCCAATTGCAATGCTGCTAAAAATTTGAAGAAAATGACAGCAACCAATACAACTGAAAATGCGAGTAAAATATAGTTTGCAAATAAACATTGTGGAGAATTACGATGATCGACTTTTCCGACATAAAATAAGTTTCTCAAACAAACTTCTTGACGATTTCTAACTTCAGGATCCATGAGTAAACTATTATACATCTTTGTGATATCCAAACCATTAAAACTTTTGAAAAGGTCAACAATTTCAGGAACCAGGAAATTCGTATCAACGCCTTCGACAGGTGTTCCACCTGGACCCAATGCTTGACGACCACCAAGTACGTAAGGTGTAATATCGTATATATTATCATTAAGAATAGCAATTTGTCTCCTATCTTGTTCTCTAATTGCCATTTCTTTGACCATATGTGCCGGTATACCTACTTGACCAACAAGGTAGATCGATCTCAATTTCATTAAAATTTCTGAATAGTACCAATCTGGTCGAAATCCGTTGGAAGAAGAAGAATAACGGAAATCGTGATATTTAGCATTGTCGTCTTTGGTGTTATTGCCGGTAAAGTCAAATGTAACAGCAGGATCGACAAATCCGTCAATTCCGCTACAAAGAGCGCTAACTTGAACAGGGAATAATTGTGATACATCATTTCCACCGTATGCCAAAATTGCGTCCGTATCAACCAATGGTGGGAAATGGCGAGGAGCAAATGTGCTCAAGAGATAAACTTCACCACGAATTGAAACTAAAGCATTGTCAGGCTCCTCTTTAAACGTATGAGTACTAAGTTCTTGACCAGTGAAAATGTTAACTTTCGGACAAATCAATTTACCCAAGAAAGCGAGAACAAAAATGATCAAAGCTGAAACCAAACCAATAAGGATGCAAAGTGCGACTTTCTCACGCCATGCCATTTGAATGTCTTTTCTTTTCATACGACCGCACCATCTCAAGAAACAAGGAGGAACCCACCAGGTAAGGAACCAAGTGAGGAATACCCATTTCTTACGAGCAGCAGTAGTTTTACGAGGCTCTTCAACTTCTTCTTCTACCGTCTCACCCCCTTCATTTAACGCTTTCTTTGCATCCAATTCTTTAAACATGTTGTGTGATGGTGCATACACTTCTGAGCCATATGAAGAACCATTATCATCATATTGACTTACTGATTCATCCTGATAAAAGTCGTCTTCAGAAAAGTTTGAGCGAGTGTCATCAAAGGACCTTTGATCCAATGCTTTTGGCGGAGAAAGGCGAGGATATAAAGTTGGAGTTAAATTATCATCGCCATGGGCTGTACTTGCGGTTGCTTTCTTATCTTTCTTTTTGCGTTTTTCTTCGCCGTCCATATTACGAAGATTGTCTTCCAAGTTACGCCATGCGGTTTCACTTAAGTATGCCTATTAGAATTCATTAGGATTTAGTCAATACACCAACTATTATCTTCTTGATGTCTTGGATTTAAAAAATCAACAAACCTTATTTTGTCCAACAGCCATATAAGAACTTGTCCAACCAAATATGGTACAAGAAGCTTCACATTTTGCTTTAGGATCTCTCGACTGATCAAGTCCCATTGAATCCAGAATAGGTGCATATCTTTCTAAAAATTCCTGGTGAGTGAATCCAATGGTATAATCGATTTGTAATTTCTTTGCAATTTCCGGTAATCCAAATGATTTTACTTGAGATTGTACAGTTCTTGAATCATATTGATTAGGAAGTAGTGAATCATTTGGGCGAATACAGAAAACATGCCAGGGAATTGTGTCTTCAAGTGTATCACACAATTCACTTAAAGCTGATGAAATTTGAGTCGCGACACAAGAGACCTTTGGTTTTGAAGTTGATTCTTCAGAACCGAGTTGACTTTTCTTACGGCGCATTGATGGAGCACGCATAGGCTTGGCAGATTGTTGGGCCGAGACAATAGTATTATCATTTCGAGGATGGGATTCTGTGGAAACGGCCTTGTCAGTGAATAAACCAACGATGAAACTATTGTAAGGGGAATTTGCTCCGGTACTACCACGGAATAATGAGACAAAATCGGCACTGAGATTATCCGTATTCTTTTCAAGGAATCCCGTGGCATTATAAGTAACTTGACCGGCGAAATGTTGAATACCAAAAGTGGGAAGAGCGTTCAAACTTTTACCAGCGGATTTAAAGGAATTGTGTTCTGAATATTTTTTACTGAAAGCGTCGAGCATGCTATTATCAGTTTTACGAGAAGATTTATTGGCATGGTCATCCATTATTGCGATTAATCCTGATGACGGATGAGAAATCATTTGAAGGCATGCCGAATTGTCGAAGAAGGGTATATCAGGAACATTAATTCCTTCCTCGGTATATTCATCATGACGTGATTCAAAAATTTGTTTTAGAACGAAATTATGAATTTTTTCATTGGCAAAATTTACACAAAATTGATCAAGAGAATTTTCTGTTAAATTTTGAAATCCAATAAGGTCGACAATACCGATAAAGCTGGCAAAATCTTCTTGACATAGTTTCGTGTTAATATATTCTACAATCCAACTAAATAATAAAGAATAAAGTGCCTTCACCAAATCATCTCGTTGAACAGAAGCAGAATCCGCGTCCAAGAATATTGTACACATTTCTTTTTTGATTAGTTTAGTTTTATAAGTAAGTACATTCTCAAGAGCCTGAGGATCTACTCCTAAAAAGTCCGCAACTAAATTTAAAACCTCCTGATTCTTTACAAAAGCTGCTTCTTTTTGTTTGTTATTTGGATCTTGAGCAAATTGTATATTACCTAAATGTAAAATAGCAGCTAAAAGTTGAAACATTTGAGCTACGTGTTTTTTATGAAATCCTAGAGATTTCAAAGCTTGTTTTAATTCATTAAAATTGTTCATATCATCAGCATTAGATCCTCTGGTCCCTTTCGGAACATTAAGATAACGATATTGTGAAGCATCGGTAAGATGAAGATGTGTTTTCTCATCCTGTGAAGCCCCAGCGATTAAATAATAAAATACGTGAAAATTTCGTTCATTTTGAAAAACTTTGACGACTCGATTTTTTTCCAAGAGGTAATCAAGTGTTTTAGCGCCAATTAATCTACCACGTTCGTTAAATTGAAGTTCGGTATATTTACCGAAACGAGAAGCATTATTATTAATATTTGTTTTGACGTTTCCAAATGATTCTAGAATAAATTCCGAGTAAGGAACTTTATTTTGGATTCTGGAATCTTTTTTTTGATGCGAACTTAAAGCGGCTAATTGTTTAACCAAAAGTTTTCGAGTTTCTGATTTTCCACTGCCCGATTCCCCACTATTGATTTAATATTTACAAGACAAAAAGGATAGGATTAATACCACCATTTTCTTGAACGAGAGAATATCATCAAATTTTTTTTTTTTTTTTTTTGAATTTCGAGTGAAAAAACTTACCTTAAGATGATGGACTGATCTTGTCCAGTTCGTCTCATGTGTAAATAAGCTTGCGAGGCAAGTTGAAAGGCATGTGGAGGCAATGTGGCTCTTTGACCCGAGGTATCTTTATAGTCCGCGACATATTGTTGAATAGTTGTATCATTAAATATAGGAAGAATTTTATAAGGGTTCACCGCTACTAGTACGGA